AACTGTAGAAGAGTATCCAGTATATGATTTATTGATATGAGTAATTAAAGGGTCGTAGTATATATGCTAGAGAAGAGGAGTTATTGTTTCTTCTTGGTCGATTTCGTCTTGTACGTTGTAGGGAGGTGTTAGTCCATAGTTGATAATAACCTGGTTTATACGGTTTTGCAACAAGTTGATAATAATTTGTACAAGTTGTGTAGGCATGTTTAGGTATTGCAGAGCTTTGCTAAGAAGGTTTATATTAACTGAGTTGTAGGCTTTACTCATATCCTGTGATAGGATCCATATCTGTTTTTTAGTACATTTGGCATCTTTTAGAAAGTTGTTAATTATGTGTATTGGATTGTTAATAGAATTGCCAGGAAGTGCAACATAGTTATGAGGGTTAAGGATTAGATATGAGGTAAAGACTTTAGTCAATCGGTTGATAAGGATTTTAGTGTAAAGTTTTTTGATATGTTCTATGAGCCTAATAGGGTAAATGTTGTTAAGATTGTCATTAAAGTAGTGTTTTTTAATATAGGATAGATTCTACAGTTTTTCCATTGTTTAGATATATTTTGTATTATGAAACATCAATTGAGCAATTTAGTAATTGTAGTCAATATATTAGGTTCTGTATGTTTGATCATCTTATAACTAATTTCAGATGATTCACATGCTTTATTGTTTAGAAGTTGTTGTATAGTTTGGATTACTTCTTCTGTACTGATTTCTTCAAGTATAGGATTGTACCATATAGGATTAATAGAGGAGATGAGTTCGTATTCTGAGTGCCAGTATTGATTAAAAATTGTTTTATTATAAGGTAAGTGGACTGTCTATTCGTTAAAGTGGTCTGTGACATGTTTTTTGATATTTACTGGGTCTGTAATGATGCCAGTATCTGTTTTGATATTTTGAAAGTATACAATATCTTTGTGTCTGTTGAGTATACTGTTTATCATTTTGGTTGGTTGTGAGAGTAGTTGATTGCATCTTTTGTCTATTGCATTATTAATGTGTTTGTGTAAATGTTATGCATTTTCTAGGTTTCTAGCATTATATATTGTTTTTCAGTATGTTTTTGTTTGTTGTAGCCATGTTGTGAGTTCTGTTTGATGGGTAGGTTAGGGATGTTAAATTGTGAATCTGGTCCTAGGACCTGAAACGATGGTCTTGGACTCAATCTAAAAAATAATAGTTGATCAATTCCAGAACTGGGTTTTAAATTACAATCTTCTACATAAGTTCATCTAATAAGATTGGTAATTTATTATTACTGCATTAGATATAAAAAACTTTACTGTTGCAATCAAAACTTTATTTCCAATATTCAATATTTTCAAGATTTTATTCGAGAAAAACAAGTTATACAAAAAATTTATATATAAAAAAAAATTTTATATCATATAAAAAAAAAATTTATATAAAAAATAAATTTATATAAAAAAATAAATTTATATAAAAAAAAAAAAGATTTATATAAAATAAATTTTATATAAAAAAAAAAAAATTTATATAAAAAAATTTTTTTATATAAACAAAAAGAAAAAAAAATTTATTTATTTAAGCACTAATATTATCTGCCTCTTTGTTTAATATATCACCTAGTTCTCTATACCAGCTTTTTAAACACAAGGATACGCAAGCTATTTCAGGACTTATACAATTTTGGGTAAGACTAATTGTATGCTTGGCAACTGAGAAAGCTTGTTCACTTGGCACACTAGTCGCTTGCATAGCGAGAAAGTCCATTGCAAGGCGGAAGAAAGTTGGAAACTGAGCAACATTTGCTTTCTACCAAGGAAGTAGATCTGCTTCAGTTTCAATCTTGGTCAAGTACTTGTTAATTTTATATTGATTCAAGTCAGCCTGGCGACTTTGGTTAAGTTTACGAAAAAGTGTATATGTTGATTTAGTAGTAGTAGAAGGTAAAAATAGTTGATTTTCTTCGGTTGGTCTAAATTTTATGTGCAATTCATAAAGTTTATTGATAGCTTGTTTACATTCATAAACATCAAAGGTCGAAAGTTTATTGCAAGGATCAAGAAGGTCCGAAATTGTTGAAGATTCATTTAGATAAGCCCAATATGATATAAATTTTACTTTCATTGCACTAGCTATGGCATGTTGTGAATTAATTTCTGGACTTTCATTATTATTTAAGTATATAATAAGGCTGTGGAATATCATACACAGGTCACCTTGGGTAGGAAGTGTAGACAAAGACAGCATTATAGTTGCATGGTATATAGGCTCAAGAAGAATTAGCAGGTTCTGTAATATTAGTATATTGTTACAGTACTGTGGTCTTCTTAATAGCAGTACTATAACAATGACACGGCTACAGAGATCTTTCACAGGTTTATAGCGATGTCCAACAGGTAAGTATAATTTCTGCTTCTTGGAGAAACTATACTCTTCTGTCTGTGGCAGTTCGGGCAGACAATAGTTTATAGATAAAATATATATTTATTAAAGATAAATAAGATAGGCTATTCTTAGGTTTCTAT